ATACATTTCTATAGATTGTCACTTTACTCCATTGGTTGTTATCCTCACTGTGCAGAAACTTTTCAGTTTGATATAATCCTTTTGTTGTTGTTCGTTGCTATTGCCCATGATTTTGAGATCTTATTTAAAAATATTTTTAATTCATTAATTTTTAAATTTACACTTAGTCATTGTATGTCTTTCCAGCGTACACTATGGGTTCTGAAAGCATGAATGCAGGGCAGGTCAAGCAGGACAGAGATACTCCTGTGCGTGATACCTTCCCACTCTGGTGTCCGTGACATTTCTGTTTTCCTGAGCCCTCCCCCCCCAACTGTCCACCTTGTCCTGTACAATCTCTGGTATTCACACGTGCTGTTACTGTTATCATGTCTTCCAATTTTCACTTTTTGCCATAAAGCGCTGACATTAGGTATATATTGAGCAGGATATACAAAGTCTTCCATTGTCGGGCTTTGCTTAGCACTATATCTTCTCTAGTCCCACACGTCGTATCCAATGACAGGACCTCATCATTTTTTGCGACTGAGTAGTATTCCACAGTGTGTATGTGCTGCATTTAAAAAATCTAGTCATCTGTTCTTGGGCATTTAGGATGATTCCATGCCTTAGCAATTGTGAATAATGCTGCAATAAATGTGGATGCGCAAGCTACTGGTAGAAAAATACTTTTTCCTGGAACAAGGTCCTGAGGTATTTTTCTTCTGATAATATCATGGTTTTGAGCCTTACATTTAAATGTTTAGTAATTTTTGAATTGAGTTTTGTAATATTTGGTGAGAGATAGGGATCTACTTTCTGCCCTTGCATATGGATGTCCAGTTTCCCCAGCACGGTTTACTGAGGAGACCATCCTTTCCCAAATGCATATTCATGAGATCTTTATCAAAACTAAATGGGCTACTTTGTGTATATATATCTGGGCTCACTATTCTCTTTCATTGCACTGTATGTCTGTCTGGGTTTTCTTTGCTAGTAGCGTGCAGTTTTGTTTACAATATTTTGTAGCAGTATATTTTCAAGTTAAGTAGGATGATACCTCTAGCTTTGTTCTTTTTTGCAAACGATCACTTTGTTAAGGGTCTTCTATAAGTCCATTCAAATTTATGATTGATTTTTACTTAATTTCTATGAAGAATGCCCCTTTTTAAAGATTTTTTTCATAAAGCACATGTGCTCACCAGAGAGAGGCAGAGAGAGGAAAAATGAGAAATCATACCCGAGGGAGATAGCCACCCCACAATCCATTCTCCTCCAGGGATTTTGGTTATGCACATATATGCGAAGCCATGTGGAAATCCAGCACCTTAATCACCACTCCACCTGCTGCCTCTGCCACAGAGTTCGCTTTATTTTTCTTTTTTTTAACCTCTTTCTTTTTTACATTTATTCATTGTACATCTTTACAGCATACAAAAGTATTTTCTTTCCCAACGTGAATACACTATTTAGTCAAACATACTGTTATTTACATTATCCTCATCAGATAACTTTCCATTGATACATTAATAGAGAGGGTATTGAGTCTGTCGATCACTTTGGGTAACATTGACGTTTAACAATATTGATTCTTCCAATTCATGAATGGTATTTTACATGAACCAATGGCAAACCCATTTCTTGGCTTGGTGCCTTCAATTATACTTCTATTGTACTTATATTCCTAATATAAATTTAAATTTCCTTTAAATTAAATAATATTATTTCATCTGTAATTAGGTCAATTCAGCATTTGTCTTATGTCTCTTCCAGAAGTTTGTCTTGTACTTAAATGAATTACCAGTAACAACCATTTAAAAAATCATTTGGCAACTAAATAAGCAAATCTGATATTTGGTGCTTTTGGGTAGATTTTATAATTATTACATCAAGTGGGTCTTTTTTTTGTTTATACAAAGTTCAAAGTATAAAAAATGTCATTTGCATAGAGTACAAAATGTGAGTACCACAGGCAAAATATTAACCAGGATTTCTATATAACATTTTCAAAATAATTTTTTTGGAGAGGTTTTTGCTATATGGTGCTCATGCTCACCAGAATGACAGAGATAGAGAGACAGAAGGCGAGCAGTCACCCCTGGGGGGATGGCCACGCCACCATCCCTTCTCCTCCATTCTCTTCTTGGGATCTTGGGCACGCACGCACACATGCCCAGCGTGAGTTCAAGCCACCGCGTCTGGGACTCTAACATCAGTCGACTACGTGGGAGTCCAGTGGCATAGCCATTATGCCAACTGCTAGTCCCCCCAAATAAATGGTTTTTGGGTAATATTTATTTGATTTTTTTTTGTCTTCTGCTTGTTTTACAGTGAGAATCTAATGCAAATAAATAATGCAGAAGCAAACCAATACTTAATTAACATGAGTGTGTTGTTCATGTCCATATTAGTGAACAATTGGCCTCTAGTTAGAAGAAAATTTAAGGAAATATTTTAGCAAGATATCTGGTAGAGAAAGGCAATAATAGTTTTAATTAAGTATAAGTTAATGAATATGTCATATGTTTTGAAGATTTTGATATATATAAAATAACAAAAATTATTTGAGTAGTACAGTCTGTGATTAAAGTATGTGATAGATTAGGTTGTTTCCATCTACAGCTAGAAAAAAATACATATTACATCTCTTCTCCAATCTTAAGTGTTATTAAACAAAGAATGTTTAGAACATGGGAGAAAAACAGACTTTACTCCAGTAAAGACTTGCACAGGGTCCAGCACTTGGCATAATGGTTATGTCACTGGACTCCCATATAGTTAACTGTGGTTCAAGTCCCAAACCTGGCGGCCTAAAGATCATGCCACGAACATGTGCAGGGATGCCAAAAGTCCTGAGAGGAGAATGGAGGAAGAATTGTGGCATGGCCATCCCTCTGGAGGGTGATTTCTCACTTTCTCTCCAGAGAGCACACACACCCTATGGAAAAATCTCCCAAAAAATAAATAAATAAAATAAAGGCTTGTACATAAGTTTAACCAGCTAGTGGGGAGGACCATTGTCCTGAGAGTTGAAGCCGTGTCTCTGGCAAGGTTCACTGATACGTGGGTCAGCCCACTGAAAACAGCCAGGACTAATTAATGCAAGCATTTGTCTCCTAATCGCCTTCATGGTTTGATCTTTTAAAGTTCTCAAAAATCACAGGAAAACAATGTTAGCATTCAAGGGAATTACTGAGATTAAACGATTTGCTCATTTCCTAATGGAGAATCTCAACAGTCACAAAAATAAAATAGACACAAATATAAGTCATGTATGAGGTATCAGTGATGAGGTTTTATTTACTATATTTATTTCACGAAAGCAAAAATCAAAGCTCATTTTATTCAAATATATTATTAGTTGTTAATAAAATGGCAAATAATTTCTTATGTTTGTTTGTTATTCATGATCCTACTATTTACTAAGAGACAGAAACCTGGATCAATGTTGTCATAAATTGCATCGTACATATATACATACACATGTATGCATGTATTTATGCATGTATTTATATTCAGGGACATAAACACATAAAGGTGTATAAATGCCTAATAAAGTAAAGATTTTGGTAACTGCTATGCATGTATAAAATGTTAGCACTCTGATTCCCCACATACACAATTAATAAATCATGATTCAATTCTTTTTTTTTTCTTTTTGGAGAAGTTTGTGCTATAGGGTGTGTGTGCTCGCCAGGAGGAGAGACAAAGAGACAGAAAGTGAGGAATCATCCCCCAGGAGGGATGGTCACGCCACAATCCGCTCTCCTCCATTCTCCTCTCGGGATCCTGGGCATGCATGCACACGTGCCCAGAGTGAGTTTAAGCCACTGGGTCCGGGACTCGAACCACAGTCAACTACATGGGAGTCTAGAGACATAGCCATTATGCCAACTGCTGGTCCCAGTCATGATTCAATTCTACAAGATAAAAAAATGACAAAAGTAAAATGCACTATTAATGATACATTGCTAATTTTGACAGAATAAACTTTCATTTTTTAAATTTTCAATATGGGTTATGTTCTAAATTAAAAACATAAATTCACATTTCTTACAATATTTCATTACTTATTATTTTGGAAAGTCTTAGAAATCATACATTTCATTTCCTCTGAAATGTACATAATTGAAAAATGCATTAGAGAGAAAACAAAATCCATGGTCCATTTATCTCATACATGAATTCAAGTATTCCTGTGCAACCACTATGCAATGGTTCACACTGTAAGAATGCAGGATTTCCAGTAAAATAGTAGCAGGAGAGAGGAACAATAAACCATAGCTGTAATTTCTACATTTATTACTTCATGTACTAGAAAGTGAAGCAATATATGCCAAAAAAAAGAGAAGAGAACAGAATAAGGAGGACCAGGAAGGTTGGGATTCAAGTGGAAGTATTAAGTTTTTTTTTTTTTTAAAGTGTGCTGTGGTTGGCCTCGTCAAATATAAAGTGATATTTGAGCAATGACTGGTTTTAAGAAAACAATACAATATGAATTAAGACTTTGAGTCCCTACATGGAGTTCAGAGCCCACTCAATATTCTGAAGGTCATCTATTGATTCAGACAAGTGAATGCTCTACTTGTAAAACATATCCTTTCAGGGTCACCAGGTGGCATGGTGTTTAGGGCACTGGGTTCCCACATGGCTGACCACTATTTGAGTCCCAGACCTGGTGGCTTGAAAATCATGCCAGATGCATGTGCGTGCATGCCCAAAATTTTTAGAAGAGGATGGAGGAGAAGGGATTCTAGCATGGCTATCCCACCTTGGGGAGTAGTTTCTCACTTTCTTTCTCTCTCTCTCTGGCAACTGCACATGCTCTGTGACAAAAACGTTAAAAACAAATATCTACTCTAAAATTGGCCGAGAGTCTTTTAATGGCAACTACAAACTATACGTTACTAATTCTCATTTTATGATGCAGAGCGATTAAAAATTACTTTTCTATTTGTATCATATTTAATCTCTTACTATTTAATTCTTATTATTTCTCTTTATGAACAACAGTGTCCAGCATGGGACATGAGAATCACACTTTCAGCAGTGACTTCATTCTTTTGGGATTGTTCTCTTCTTACCAAGCAAGCCTAGTCTTCTTCCCCTTTCTATGTGTTATTTTTATTATGACCGTAGTGGAAAATGCAGCCATGATCCTCCTTATCAGCACAGACTCACGACTCCAAACTCCGATGTATTTCCTGCTCCGCCATCTCTCTTTTATGGATATCCTGCACATTTCCAACATTGTTCCCAAGATGGTCACTAACTTCCTGTCAGGCAGCAGGACCATCTCCTTTGCAGGTTGTGGCTTCCAATTATTCCTGTCCCTCACCCTCCTGGGCGGGGAGTGCCTCCTCCTGGTGGCGATGTCCTATGATCGCTATGCAGCCATCTGTCACCCACTGCACTATCCGCTTCTTATGAATGAGGGCATCAGCGTGCTCATGGCTGGAGGGTCCTGGCTGGTAGCAGCCATCAACTCTGCAGTACACACGGCGTTTGTGCTCCACTTTCCCTTCTGTGGCTCTAGGGCCATCGATCACTTTTTCTGTGAAGTCCCTGCCATGTTGAAGTTGTCCTGTGTGGACACATCAAGCTACGAACGGGGCGTTGATGTGAGCGGCATAATCTTCTTGCTCATTCCTTTCTCCTTGATCTCTGTCTCCTACATTCAAATTCTCCTTACTGTCCTTCAGATGAAATCGGAGACAAGGAAGAAGTCGTTTTCCACCTGTTCCTATCACATGGTTGTGGTTATAATGTACTATGGGCCATTTATTTTCACATACATGAGACCTAAATCATACCACACCCCAGGCCAGGACAAGTTTCTGGCAATATTCTACACTATCCTCACACCCATGCTGAACCCCATTATTTACAGCTTTCGGAATAAGGATGTCCTGGCTGCCGTGAAAAATGTGGTCAAAAGTAACTTTCTGCATAGAAAGTGAATAGAAAAACATTTGGATGGTGAGTTTCTTCTAAATTGCACATTTAGAATTTAGAGAAACCCATTCTTAGTTCCTATAGAAATTTATTCAAGGCTTCTCTCTCTCAAAGTGTGAAAAAAAAGTTTACATTCCCAAACACTGATAATACCACACAAAGTGCTGGCATGTGCAACTACATACCTCTAAGAGTACAGTTTCCTCTGCGATGTGAATTACAATTACTTATGTAGGAATTAAAATATGGCCCAAGGATTCTAATTGCCTTCCATTTCAATTATAAAAAATTGTAAGAATTACCTTTTAAAATATAATCTATGCACATTATATATAAATAACCCATCCATGTAATGTCTATATTTTTATGAAACTTCATAAAATTATAATTTGAACTTCATCAATTGGTTATTAAAAATCACAAACAACTTGCACTCCCCATTACTGCCTGGGTTTGTCTTGGTGCCTCTGTTTTTTTGGGGTGAGAAAATGCACGTGTGTGCGTGCACACACACACACACACACGTATAAAACATGTACAATTTTTTCCTTACTTCCATCCCTGTAATCCTCTCTTATCCTGCACAGACCTAGTAATTTTATCTCCTTAGAGAAGGAGGGTATCTGCTGCCATAATGGTGTATCAAGATACTGCTTGAAAGTTTTACAATTGGCCATGAGTGTTATAAGTCATATGGTGCAGCACACAGCACACCTCAGGGGCTCCATTTGCCGTCACGGTAAAATTCCACGTAACCTCAAGGTGCAGTGAAGCCTAATGTCAAGACCTGACTGTGGTGACAAGAAAGTCACTTCCCAGCTGACCAGATCTGCAAGTAATATGGAAATCTAGAAATCATAGTTCAGAGAATTGTAAAATTCCATATAGACAGATAGAGGTATATAGATATAAAAACACACTGTATTATAAGACTAACACTTAAATTCTCTACTGGGGTATAGAAAAACAGAAAAGATAATACTTAAACTGAGAGGAGTGTAAGTTTTCTATGTGTGTGTATACACACACACACGTGCAGATTGTCTTGATAAAAGACATGGTCTGGGGGCCAGCAGGTGGCGTGGTGATTAAAGTGCTGGATCATACATGGCCTACCTCAACTGGACTCCAAGACCCCAGAGCTCAAACATTACTCTGGGCACATCTGCATGCATGTCCAAAATCTCAAGAGGAGGATGAGGAGAAGGGATTGCAGCATTCCTCCATGAGGTGATTTCTCACTTTCCCTCCATCTCTGTCTGTCTCTCCCCAGCGAGTGTGCCTTATGGCAAAAAAAAAAAAAAAAAAAAAAACAAAAAAAAGAAAACAAAGATAGACCTGGTTTGATGGAAGTGGAAATGAAAAAATACAGATATTTTAAGCATAAATAACAAACCCAAAGTATTGCACATAGACAATACAGTACATTTAGAAATTAATATATTTCTAATTGAAATGCTATCCATTGTATTTTTTTGGACAGAGGAGAAACAAGTGCTTCCCATGGCGGTCTCCTCATGCACAGTTCCCTGCCCCCAGCCTGTGCACACCCAGAGTCAGCAGAGCGCATACAGGGTCCCAGGTCAATGTGGTTTCTACAGTAGGGCAGGAGCCACCATGTCTGGTTTCAGATCAATGTGGGATCTGGACTGTTGCCTTCCCTGTGGTTCCAACACAGACTGGCACTGTGCCACCCACGCATCATGGCTGAGCCAAAAACTAATACATCTCACAGTCTGAATCATGATACTTTCTGCTGTAAGTAGAGAAAAGAAGAAGTTAATTAGAATAAAAATCAAGGAATGCTTTTTATTCATTTAGAGAATTTATGTCATATTCTCGTAGGGCCACATCATCCATCGTAATGAAAATGAGTCAAAGATATTTTCCCCACATATGCCACTCAGCATTCCGACTTCTGCTACAGATTGGTCTACGTATGGACTGATGGAGCCTCATTCACTGAAATAATGCTATGATTCAAGTACATGTTTGACATGTTTATCTTATTTACAGTTTATATTGTATATTTCAGTTTTGCTACCAAATAGTAAAATACATATATATTTATTTATAAATACACACACATATATATACATGTGTATATATATATATTTTTTGTTTTTGTTTTTGTTTTTGTTTTTGTCTTTTAGAGATTTTTTGCCGTAGGTTGCATGCAATTGCAGGAGAGACAGACAGCCAGAGACAATGAGAAGGAAATGAGAAATCATGCCTCCTGCAGGGATGGCCACATGGCAATCTTTTCTCCTCAGATTTCTTTCTGGGATCTTGGGCATGCATGCACATGTGCCCTGCATGGTTTTCAAGCCACTGGGTCTGGAAGTCCAACTGCAGTCAGCCATGTAGGAGCCCAACAATGTAATCACTATGACATATGTTTGCCCCTCTAAATATATATATTCTTTTCTATATTATATATATTCTTTGTAGATAGAATATTCTTTGTACATAGACCATTTGTGATACTATGTAATTTCTTGAAATACTATATTTTGTTTAACTAAAATATATCCACTTATCAGTTGGTTAATTGGGAAGAGTCTAATCTACATGCATATCTTGAAAATAAAACAGAATTAAACGTTTCTAAAAGCCCATAAGAAGGTTATAGTCCATTTGGACAGATGCGTGGGAGGCTCAGCCTGGACTCAGTGCTGTCTCTCAGCTGGCAGTGTCCCCAGGTCTCCCAGCGTGCCCTGCTGTGAGCAGTGGTTCATCCGTGTGCCAGAGACCGCAGAACCCCAGGGGCTCTGAGATGGAAGGGCGAAGTTAAAGCGTGATTAGGCAGTCGGCCAATTCTACAGCGATGACCAAGGTCTCACTTTACCACACATCCTTTCTGTCTTAGGCCTGCTTCCACAGTACTTCTCAGGGTAAACCCCTGGAGATTCACGCCTGAGGCAAAAACCACTAGCAATCTTGAAATCCGGTGTGATGATAATTCCTAAAACGTGTTTCAGATTGGAACTTTTAGAAGTTGAGAGCTTCTTTTTTGGGAGTGTCACATTAAATACCTTGATTACTTAGATTATGTGTTGTTCTACTTCACATCTCTTTGAAATATATATATATATGACCATATAGTATAATTACAGTTAAAACAATAGAAAAAGAATTACAGTGACTTTGCAATCAGTGCCTCCAAGTAGAATGGCAGGGAATCATTCTTATATTTAATTTTGCAGACCCATGTCCAGGTTTTTAAAATATTTTACTTCAGGGGAAAATCCTATCAGAACAAGATAGAGCACTATGAGGGAAGCTCTCTTTCCTACAGTTGAAGTGATTTGGAAATTAATTATATTATAAAATGACGGACTACCTGTACTTCTGCTTACCTAGAGGACAAGGGTTGCTTTGAGGACCACGCCTTATTCTTCAGTTTGAAGACACAACTTGGAGATGGGGGCTCATCCATGGTAGCCACCACTCAGGGACTACATGGTTATTGCATCGAGTTGTCACTAAAAGTAGTCAGAGAAATGGCCGTCCTGTGACAATTCACTATAACTCGGGTCGAAAAGAAAAACACGCAACTACTCTCAGATGCCAGCTAAAGGTATGTACTTTATTTGAACAATTAATGGGAATCAATTTCTTGGTTCTCTTTTATGTCCATAGTCTTCATTAGGCTACTCCTGGATTGGGCACACATTCCCGGTGTTTACTTAAATGACAGCTCTGAGAAGAGTACCAGAGTGTGCCTTGGAGATTTATGTAGTTTTATGTTAGATTTAAATAATCTGAGGGTTATAAGGTCAAATGTACAAACAGCACAGAAAAGCAGGGCTAGCGTTTGGTGGTAGACTGTGTTCTTTACCTGAGAGAGTGGAATCCCAAAGTATCATTATTCCTGACTGAGGTAGAAGACGTGTCTTTCTTCCTTATCTTCCCCTCAAAATGTCAGGTCATGCTTAGCCCATAGTTACAGTTGTTAATGATTTTAGAACAACAAAAGTTTGTAAAGTATTTCAAAAACACAGATTTCTAATGAGGTTTATATTCAGTTGTAACAAAATAAAATATCTTGTAATTTGTATGGCTCCCTATATGTGGTAGTTATTCATATTTGCATGGTAAAAATGTATTTCATTTATTATTGTTTTATGATATGAAAGAGGAAACATATTTTCATACAGGGCCTCTATTTTATGCATTTCTCTAGTTGCCATCTCCTGCAATTAGTTACTAATGTCTTATAAATAAGTCTATGATAAGAATATTTAAACAAAACAATTCAAAATGCAGGTAAGTATAGACATCAATGATGCAAAAATATTTGTAGATGATTTTGTTCATCACATTTTGATGAAAGAAACTACAAGTCAAATTGCATGTTTGATAAAGTTGTTTTATAAAACATGTGGCTTTCAATTTAGAGTCTCATCATAATAAGCTAGTTCTGAAATCCACGTTGGTCTAGAATGTGAATATTGCTTCTCTTTCCTCATTGAAAGATTGGTTTGTGGCACTTACTCCATAAATGCTACTTTAAATTGTTGAACTCACACTGAAGGCTCAAGCCATGCCCTAATGTAGTGACACAAGTTATTTAACTGTGGGATTGAGAATTGCAGTTTGTTTAATGTGTTAGTTACTATAATACCATAATACATGTCAATTCATGCATGTATTTCACTTTTTTTAGAGAGGTTTTTGCTATAGGGTGTGTGCACTCACCAGCAAAACAGAGAGAGAGACAGAGAGACAGAAAGCAAAACATTATTCCCCCACCAATGGGATGGCCATGCTGCAGTCCCTTCTCTTCCAGTCTTCTCTTGGCATTTTGGGCAAGCACCACATGTGCCTGGCATAAACTTTAAGTCACCAGGTCTGGGACTCGAACTGCATTAGAATACATGGAAGTCCTGTAATATAACCATCACACCATCTGGTGGCCCTTTTATTTCACTTCTAATCAGAACTTCTTCTCAATAAGAGAAGAGTCACCTTGACATTGAGCCAGAAGGGGGATGGTGGGGAT